GGGTGGCGCTCACCGGCCGATCCGGCCCCGCTGGACTCCAGGTCGCCGCTGGCCCCCGGCTCCTGGTCACCGCTGCCCTCGGCACTGCCCGACTCGCCCGAGCCTGGCTGGCCGGAGCCCAGGACCACCGGCGCTGTGGCCAGCGGCCGGACAGTGGCCTTGGGCGCGCCGGGGCTGAACCAGGCCGTGGTGGCCGGTCTGGCCGTGGTGGCCGGCCTGGCTGTGGTCACTCGCTGCGTCGTGGGCTGGTGGCCACGTTCTGTGGTGTGGTGGCCACTGTCCATGTGGTGGTGACCACTGTCCGTGTGGTGGTGGCCACTCTCTGTGGGGTGGTGGCTGCGCTCTGTGTGGTGGTGGCCGCTGTCCGTGGGACGATGACCGCTGTCCGTGGGGTGGTGGCCATGCTCAGGGTGGTGGCCGCTGTCCGTGGGCCTGGCTGGGGAGCTGGTGGCCACCGGCCCCGTGGGCTGCGGGGTGGCCCGAGGGGGCGGGGGCAGCAGTGGCCGGTCCGGGGCCAGCGTGGGCAGCGGCGTGGGGGGCTCAGGGGGGCTGGTGTGGCCACTGGACTCTGCGGGAGGAGGGGACATGGTGACAATGGGGACAGGTGGCACTGGGCGGGAGGTGACAAACCCCGGGAAGGGCCAGGGGTGTCCCCAGGGCAGGGGGGGACAGCCGGACACTGTGAGGTGGCACTGCACTGGGGACACTGACCGTGGCACTGCCCCAAGGACATTCCTGTGTCACCACCCTGGGGACACTGACCATGGCACCATCCCAAGGACACTGACCACACACTGACCGTGGCACTGACCATGTCACATCCCAGGAGACACTCCCGTGTCACCGCCCTGGGGACACTGACCATGGCAGCAATGGGGACACTGACCATGGCACCGCCCCAAGGATACTGACCATGTCACACCCCCAGGTGACATTCCCGTGTCCCTCCCCCAGGGACATTCCCGTGTCACCACCCCAGGGACACTGACTGTGGCACCATCCCAAGGGACACTTAACTGTGTCCATCCCAAGGGACACTCTCCATGTCACCACCCTGGGGACATTCCCGTGCCCCTCCCCCTGGTGACACTCCCCGTGTCCCTCCCCTGGTGACACTGACCGTGGCACTGGCCCGCGTGCCGGACGCTGATGTGCTGGCCCTGCCGGCAGGCGATGGTGCGCAGCTGGCACTGGTCCCCGTAGGTGACACCGTCGGAGCCGCACACCTGGGGACACAGGGGACACCCCTGGGCTGCACCCCTGGGACACCCCGGCACGGGAACGGGGCCCTGAGTGTCCCACGAGGGTTTGGGGACTCTGGGTGACCGCAATGGGACAGGGGGACACGGAGCATCCCTGACACCTGTGTGTCACCCTGTCCCAGCAGGGGACAGCCACCCTGGATCTGTGGGGTTGAGACACCTCTCCAATATCCTCAGTGTCCCCAATGTCCCAATGTCCCCATTGTCCCCAATATCTCCAATCCCCCAGTGTCCCCAATGTCCCCAATGTCCCAATGTCCCCAATCCCCCACTGTCCCCAATGTCCCAAATGTCCCAGTGCCCCCACTGTCCCCACTGTCCCCAATGTCCTCATTGTTCCCAATGTCCCCCGTGTCCCCAATGTCTCAATGTTCCCAATGTCCCAATGTCCCCAATGTCCCCAATCCCCCCAATGTCCCCAATCCCCCCAGTCCCCTCAATGTCCCCAATCCCCTCAATGTTCCCAATCCCCCCAATGTCCCCGCTGTCCCCAGACCTTGGTCCGGTTGGCCTCGGGGCACAGCGGGGACGGGCACTCGCAGTGGGCGAAGCCGCCGAGCTCCACGCAGGACGCCCCGAACTCACAGCGCAGCTCCCGGCACGACGAGGGGGCCGAGGGGTCTGGGGACAGGGACACCAAAACTGTCACGGGGACACGGGGACCGAGATCCCAAACATGGGAATGAAAATCCCAAATGAGGGAATTGAGATCCCAAATGTGAGAATCGAAATCCCAATCACACAGGAACTGAAATCCCAAATACAGGAACCAAAATCCCAGTTATACAACCAGAATCCCAAATGTGGGAACTGAGATCCCAAATATGGGAACCAAAATCCCAATTATACAAGAACAAAAATCCCACTTATAAAAACCTCAAAATCCCGATTATGCAGGGACCAAAATACCAATTATACAGGAAATAAAATCCCTAATAGAGAAGCCAAAATCCCAAATACAGAACCCCAAAATCCCATTAATAAAAACACCAAACCCCATTAATAAAACCCCCAAATCCCATTTATAAATACCCCAAACCCCATTTATAAAAACCCCCAATCCCAGTTATAAAAACCCCAAATCCCATTTATAAATACCCCAAACCCCATTTATAAATACCCCAAACCCCATTTATAAAACCCCAAATCCCATTTTTAAAACCCCCAAAATCCAGTTTATAAAAACCCCAAACCCCATTTATAAAAACCCCAAACCCCATTTACAAAAACCCCAAACCCTATTTATAAAAACCCCAAACCCCATTTATAAAAACCCCAAACCCCATTTACAAAAAACCCCAAACCCCATTAATAAAACCCCCAATCCCATTTATAAAAACCCCAAACCCCATTAATAAAATCCCAAATGCCATTTACAAAA